GCATTAAGCCAGAAGATTGACAAAATAGAAAAGGCTAAAGTTAATTCAGTAAGATCATTAATGCTCTCATGTGATCTTTGTAGAATATAAGGGAATTCTACAGTTGACTGCCCTAATGTCATCACTGATGGATAAGAAGACCAAGTTGAGAATGTGGTTGTTCCTCACAATTTCTATGACGCACCTAAGAGAGAGAAATTTGACCCCTACTCAAGCACTTACAATTTGAGATGGAAAGCTCACCCAGGTTTTCTTGGTAAAATAATCAAGGACAAGGGAGTAGTTAACAACAAAATTTTAGACAACCTACAAACTTCCACCAAGAGTAAGGAAATCAAGACTCTTAACAAGTCTCACACCTTCATCAATCAATCTTAAAGCTATAGAGTCTTGTGGAGTGTTTTGTCAAAATTCAAGAGTAAACAAATGAGTTTGTGAGTAGCTCTATTCAAAACTTAGGGGCTAAAGTGGAGCAATTAACAAGTAAGGTGTAAAATTTAACTATTCATGGAAAAGTGTTGGAGACTCAAATTACCCAACTCCTTCCTACCTCATGTTGTGCTCTAGGTAAGTTCCCTACTAAAACTGAAACAAATCCATTTGAGCATTACAATGCGATTATCTTAAGGAGTGTGAAAAATTTAGAAAGTCTTAAGTCTAACAGAAAGGAAAAATATAGAAATAGAAGTGGAGACACTTCCCATAGTCTAAAAGGAAAAAAATTAGGGCATTTCAATAAAAGAAAAAGTGTCTCCTAAGACTTCCTCTAAAGCTTATCAACCTCACATTCCTTTTCCTCAAAGATTAGCCAAATCCAAGTTAGATAAACAATTTGGAAAATTCTTGGGTATGGTTAATCAAATTTATGTTAATATACCTTTTGTAGGAGCTTTACAACAAATGCCTATTTATGCTAAGTTTGTAAAGGATATTTTACCTAATAAGAGAAAATCAAATGGACCTAAGACTGTGACCCTTGTTCAAAGTAATTTATCTCCTAAACTTAAGGACCCAACTTGTTTTCTATACCATGTTTAATTGGTAACATTAGGCTTGAGAAAGCCTTGTGTGATTTAGGAGGTAGTGTTAGTTTGGTGCCCCTTGTTGTTTACAAAAATCTTAGTGTTGGGAAATTACAACCTACCAACATGTCATTGCAATTGGCGAATCAATTTGTAAAACATCCAGTTGGAATTGTAGAAGATGTTCTTGTTAAAGTAGGGGATTTAATTATTCCATTTGATTTTGTTGTGTTAGAAATGGAGGAGGATGTCCAAACCCCTATTATTTCAGGAATACCTTTCATAGCCACCGTTGACTTAAACATAAGTTGATTTGTTTAAAGCTAACAATCACCCTGTTCTTAAGAAATCTGTGTGCAAGATTGACTCAAAAGAACAAAAAGTGAAAAACAAGGTAATGAAGTTTTCTAGTAAAGATCCATTATAGCCATGCTTAATAAAAAAATCAACCCATTGACCATCACATTGAGGAAGTCAACATTCTAAAAAAGGAGCCTTATATCCCTCCCCATTGGCATAGATTAGGAAACGTAGGAAATCTACAAAAAGGAGACAAAAGGATTAAATAAGGATTAAAGTCACACCTCTATGAAGATCAACTTGAGAAGACAATGTCAATTAACCTTCTCAATTCTCTCTCAAATTGCTAAAATAGTATATGTGTCTACTTGTAACATTAATCAAGTCTTTATTGGGAGGCAACATAATCTTTATTAGTTTTAATTATAGTTTAATTAATTTTAGTAAGTTAAATATGATCACTTGATCTGTTTTGTTGAGGCACCTTGTAGGAACTAAAGAGACAAAGCTAATTTTTAAAAAATCCATTCATAGTGAGATCTTTCATTTTCACCCTTCTCTCTATGATTCATTGCTTAGGGACAAGAAATTGTTTAAGTTTGGGGTTGAAGGGGCGATGCATTTACATTTGTAATCATGTTTTCTTGTTGTCTTGCATTCATGCATTTATTTAATAATCTGAAATTTGAACTTAGAGCTTGATAAAATTTGATAAAAATGCATGGTTCTAGATAAATAGATGAATTTAATCAAACTTTGTTCAACCCTCATGGTTAGAAGCTTATGGGGATAAATAAAAAGGAAAAAAAATGAGAGTTTTAACCAAGCATCCCTTTAAGGTCATAGGTTTGAGGGGAAAATGTTCAAAACCTTAGAAACCTAAGGAAAAGAAAAAGATAATTGATTAGCTACTGGAGAAATGTTTGGTATTTAGCCAAGCACCCCTTTGATGCTATAAGTTCAAGAAAAATGGGTCCCTCAAACTAATTGGTTACTGGAAAAATGTTTTGGTTGAGAAAAAATATATTAATTAAAAATAAATCTTGTCCATATTGTGCTGCATACATATTGAGAAATTTTTTACAAACATTCATTTGTCTATTCAAGTTAATAAAAATAGAAATGTGTTTGCTGAACATAGTTTTGAAAGAATGTTTCCAATGGAGAAAATGATAGTTGAAACTAGTTTTGAAAATTTAAGACTCTAATTGGACTTTAATGAGATCATAAAAAAAATTTAATTGGATAATCTGCCTACATTATTACAATGTCTTCCTAGTAGATTAGTTCAAAGATTATGATTATTGTTTGAGGATAAGCAAAAGTTTAAGTTTGAGGTTATTTGTTTTACATTTTCATCAAGTCTTTGTCTTAAGTATTTAACTAATTAGAAGTACTTTCATGCATGATATAAGATAGTTTACCATACGAATTGCTTTAAATTCATTTTTTTTCTCTTTAAGTGTGTTACATTTCTCTTTTGTTGTGTAATTCGCATACATTTTAGGTAAATACATGATCTCTAAAAAACCAATAAATAAGGAAAAGAAAGAAGGAGATAAAGATGAAAAGATAAAGAAAGAAGGAGAACAAAGACCAATAGAACATGTCATGGTCATGACTCACCAGTCTCACTTGTGATCGATTGTTACAAATTATCTTTTAGGATTATCTTGTTTTATTTTGTCATTAAAAATTCATTGTTGGCTTGTCTTTTAAGGTTTTCTAGGTTATAAATTAGACTATTAGGGCTAGAAAATAATACCTGGCATTTTACGCTTGATAGATATATTGAAGAGGAGTAATCTGTGTTGGTGTTCCTCCAATTCTTAGGTTTGTTTCTTTTTATGTTATATTTCTTTTCTTTTGGGAGAACTACTTTGAACATGTGTGAGTAGTCTCTTTTTGGGATCGGGGTTTAGCCCTTGAGAACCTTTATGCTAATATGAATTATTCAATTATTTAATTTTTGTTCTATCTTTGATCTTATTTCTTTACAATTTATATATGATAATCGATTAGCCATCGTTTTTCATAATCTTAGATGTTTAGGAACGTACTAAGAAGTGAACCTAAATATTGGAACCTAAAGAAATATACTAAGGCTTTAAACCACAAAAGTAGGTTTAATCCTTCATGGATCAACTAAATTAACACAGGTCATAATGGGTTTAATTGAATTGTAGCTACCCTGAGAGTAGGAGTTAATTCTATTAAACACGCCTTCGTATCTTGAGAAAGTAGGAAGGATACTCTTGGTTAATTTACCTTCAATAGTATTAAATCTCTAGGTAAAGGCATGTGAACATAAAGGAACTCATTGAACGAACCCTAATTTTTAGAATTTTCTTTATCAATTAAAATTCCTACTACAATCAATCTTAATCATTCTCAACTTAATCTTTAATTACTCTTTTCTATTTTTATCTATTCAAATTTAACTAAATATTAATAATTACAAGGTCAAACACGTAGTCCCTATGGATTCGATAAATTATTACTTGACGATAATTATACACTTGCAATTTTCTCATAATCGATAATGAATATAGAATAATTAATAAGATACAAATTTTATAAAATATTAATATTATTAAATAATAATATCATAAAAAAAAGTACTATAACTATAATATTGATAAAGTGATAGTATGAGACAATAGTGTTGGACTTATACGTTACTAATAAGATCATAATATTATAAAATAATATTAAGTTAATAATTATAATAATAATAATTTTAATTGGTTCTATTCTCAGATCTTTCAATTTGAAAAATGTAAACTCATAATTTGAACCAATTAAAATTGAATTTAATTGGTCGATAATGTTTTTTAAACCTTCAATGCATAACTTTTAAGCTCTTGGTACAATGCGTAAAGTGTAAATCTTGAATAGTTATTTTAGTTTTGTCCTAAATTCATTAGGAATATTTTGCTCAATATTTGGTCATATCTGGTTCCTTAAAGAAACGAATAAAATCAGCTTAGTGACCAGAAGTTGAAATAATGTCCAAGACCTTTAAATTGAATCTTGTTTTGGTAGTTTGAAAGAAGAAAAAAAAACTCGGCAGATATTTTAAGCACAGATGATCAACTTAGACCATCAAAATGACAAATAAAGCAACAATGTCAATTTTTTTCTTTAATAATGAAGAAATAAGTAAAAAAATACTTCATATGAGAGAGATTGTTTGGTTGAAGAAAAATAAAAAGAAAAGAAATTAAAAGATAATAAATTCTATTATTTTATTTATTTATTTATTTTTCTTTCCTCTCTTTTATATATACCTTATTTCTCACTTATTTCCTTTTAATAAAATAACTAAATTTTTACATATTTTTCTTCACTTTTTATTTTATTTCTTATCCATTTCTTTGTTGTCAACCAAATAGATCGATAAATGAATGAAATTAATGGTAAACAATCAAAATTCTCAAAACCGAGGTGTCCGTTTCACTTCGCGTCATGTGTACTTTTCAAACTTTCAAAAGCTGAAGAGTCCCAAACATGAACGAGTATACCTCAAATACAAAGTATTGGCTTCCAAGCCATTATTAATAATTGGCTACAAACAAAAACAAACAAAGCTAAAAACACACCAACACACATTTTTTCAGCACACTACTTATTATTAAATGGAATTCGTATGAATCTACCACTAAAAAATAAGACTTGTTAAACGAGAGAAAGACTAATATTATTTAGTAAATGTTGAAAGAATTGCATCCAATCCAATAATAAAAATGTGTCCGAGAGAGCATGTAACACAGTGTATTATTAGCATTTAAGTCCCTATATAATACATCTGGTGATGTGAGCCCAGCTATAATACAAAGGTAATGAAGGGTAGGGACCCAATTCAACCTACTTTTAAGTAATGCCCTACCAACAGCTCTTAAGACTCTTTGAAAAAAAAAGGGCTCTTCTTGAGTTTTCCCTCATCAATGCCATCAACCTAGCTTTGAATAAAAAGCTTGGTTATGTGTTAGTCCGAATCACTGTCCAAATTTTCCATTCCTTTTAAGCCTCTGCGCTTTTGCTGCATATCCAAGATAACCCCCAACAACATGTTAGTCTCTTATAATGCACAGAACATGATAAGATTAAATATTGTATATTCTTGATAATATAGCAATAGAGTAATACACCAATTTAGTCCTTAAAATTATAGTTACCAATTAGTTTAGTCCCTAAAATTACTTGAAATTGCCAAACATCAATATTTTGATTCTTATTGTTGAAATTTCATAAATTAAAGTAAGGTGACGTAGTTTGGGAACTATTAGAGTAACAGTGAATTAAATAAATAAATAAATTATATTTAGGTGCGATTTATCTTTAATAGAATACTTTGGAATAAGTTAATTAGCAAAGTTTATTAGAAAGTGTGTATGTATGCGTATGAGAGGTGCAACATAATGATTCCTATAAAATGTGTTGTTCATATTCTTTGAAAAAGAGAGAAAAAGAGAATTGTAATATTTTTATCTTCATTGATTGATTTTATGATTTTAAAGGATATGATCAATACATTTTGTAGGAGCATTGTAATGCACATACATACAATACAAGTTTTCTAACAAACTATGTCAGCTAGCTTATTTTAGTGTATTCTATTTAGAATAGATTGACACATACATATAATTTATTTATTTAATTCACTATTACTTCAATACTTCAATAGTAAATTGAAAAAATACAATGATCATCTTTTGATAATTTGGAATTGGGGACCTAATATTTTTTATTTTTTTAATTTCAAAAACTAAATTTATCGGTACTTACTTAAAATTTCAGGATCAAAATTGGTGCATTACTCTAAAAAATGTGTGTATAAGAGGGGGAGAGAGGAAGGGGCCAAATTTTATGTATCTCCAATGCCCCAGCATCCAAGCTCAAGCAAAAAGAGCAAGGTTACCTTTTTCACTGATTTCTTCTCCCTAACTTCATATCTACTCTTTGTCAGCTCTGATAGCCACATCCCAGGAAAACAGCACTGTAAACCAATAATAAAGATATCATAAGAAACCAATTTCTCATTTGTTCTGGTTTATAAATTAAATAAGCATAGAATTGAAAAGTGTGTGGCAAAGGAAACCAATTATATTTTATTCCCTTTTGTGTAAATTGGAAGTTGTTCTAGTAGTAATACCTGTAGAATTCTGTCAATGTTCTTTGCTCTCTTCTTTGGTCTTTGAGGGATTTTTGTTCCCTTCATAGCAAGAAAGTCATCTTCTTTCTCCTTTCTTGAGAGAGCAATGTATATCCTTGGCCACTGAATCACCTCAACAGTCTTGTTTCCATTAGCAGGAGCAGTGGGAACCCCACCTTCTTGTTCAGATTGCACTGAGGCAGAATCTCCATGACTATTATTAGTCAGTCTCTCATAGCCTTGTGTAGTTGAAAATCCAGTTGGCTTTTGACACTTTGCTGATCCAGAAGAAGGCATCCTCCTGCTACTTCTTTCCATGCCAGAAGAAGACACTTTTGGTGCTGCAGATCTACACACAACTGGGTTACTCCCCTGGCTGTTCCTTGATGGTGACTCACTTCCACCTAAAGAGGGATCTTCCAAATTCCTGTCTCCAGAGAAAAGATCCAGGGTTAGATAAATCAAAGACACAATTTAATTGCCACAAGTGGGGATATACATAATTGACTATTAACAAAATTTGAAGGACACAAACTTGACTATCTAGTTTGAATTTGAAACAGAAGAAATTAAATCTTGCAGCAAATCTAAGAACCTATTAAGCACTTATTTCATTTTTCTTTTCTATTTTTCTGTCTTAGATGTGTTTCTGGTGAAATATATCCAAACAATTCTCAAGTCCATTACTCCATTATAATACAGAATCTGAAACAAAAACAAACAGGGAGAACTGAAACAATATTTTAAGAAAGTTTACCTTCAAAAGTTGGGGGCAACAGTAGAATCAAGGTGCTTTTGGAATATATGTGTGTGTTTATCAAGCATAAAGAAGAGAAGGAATTCTTCCATAAGAATGAATGCTATATCTAATCTCACTTGTTTTTGAAACTTTGATGTTCAATGCCATGACAAGATAAAAGGGAAACGCAGTAGAATCTAAGAAAGATTGATAAGCAAAAGCAAATGTGTATTTATTTTTAATTAATTAATCATAACACATAATGTTATTTAAAAATGAAAATGTTGATACCTAGGGCTGTGGCTGTGGCAGTGGTTTCTAACTCTGGCACTGGAGGCAGTAGAGGAAACAAGAGGAGGTGGCGGCGGCATGGAGAAGTTGGGAGGAACAGTGTGAGTGATTACTCTTCTCATGTTGTTGCTGTTGTTGTTGTTGTTGTTGTTGGTGTGAACAGAAGATGATGAATCTTCAATGGCAGCCCTTGAGAGCCTTGATCTCTTTCTGTGACCCCACTTCAGCAGCACATCACCACCACTTTGACTTGTGTTGGTGCTCTCTCTTGTTGTTTGGGGAGAATCAAAAGGACACATGTTGCTCTTGTTATCTTGGATGATGATATGAATCTCAATGAAACCTTTGCTTTCAAAACCAACACAGTAGGGAGATGCAGATGCTGCTGTTGTTGCTGTTGCCAAGTGCCAACTCTTAAATCACTTTTGCATTTCTATTATTATTATTATTAGTAATAGGGTTGTGTATCTATAAGATATAGGTGGTTATTAAGATGATATAAGAAATTATTTTTTTTAACAATGGAGAGATATAATGATCTACTTCAAAAATAGAAATAAAAAATATTATAAATCTTGATATAATATTATAATATATATAGATATGATATGAATTGTTATTATTATTCTAGGTCTTGCACGTGCTACCCATGATGTTTCTTTTTTTTTTTTTTTCTATTTTCTAATCCTTAAACTCTCCCTTTGAGGGAAAAAAATTCAAAATAAAATATAAAAAAAAAAATAAAGATGCATCTGTAAATCAGGAACACAATAACAACCCTGCTAAATAAAATAAATATACTTCTATTCATCCACAAAATGAAGCACCAATGACTAAATTTGACAACATGAAAAGAAAAGAAAAGCCATCTGAATTTAAGGTGATGTCAATATTGGAGATTTAAGAGCAGGTAGACCTCATCATTATGTTCCTTCCTCCAAACAATTACAATGATTATGATTCAAAATGGAATTCTTTCGGATTCGCAGAAAAATGGCCTAACATGCAGTCCTCTATGCAAAAGGAATTACAGAGTAATGCATAATTTGAGTCATGCTTGAAAAAAAAAAATCTTCTTTTAATTTTCTTCTTTAATTTTATTTAATAGCAATATCCTTATATTATTAATTACTCAAATATCACTCTTAATATATAATTTTTTACTTTTTCATCTATACTTATTATAAAGAAGATATATTTTGGTAATTACCCTTTTGGTTTCTACTTTTTAGTGGATCATTATATTCTTTAGATATAAAAAAAAATTTCTTATATTTTGGTAATCACCTTTTTTATTTCCACTTTTTAGTAAATCAATATATCTCTTGAATATAAAAAGATCTTCTTATATTCTCTTTAAATAACTATCCGCAACTTTTACTATTTGTCTGTTTATAATTATTTGAGACACGAAGTGTCTCGACTGCTCTGATCTATACTAATATATAAAAGGGATACTTTTTTAGTAACTACCCTGATTTTCACATTTTTTTTAACCATTCTACCCTTCTATTTTAAAAAAAATTAGAAAAAATATTTTTTTATCAAATTTAAGAATTTAAAACTAATGGATTAATCATAACATCAATTAGATAAATATACTTTTATTATTTAATTTTTATTTTTATTTTATTTTTATTTTATTTTTAATAAATGCACGAAGTTCCTTGACCGTACTAGTTATTCTAAAAGGAATACATTTTTAAATAATTGTTTTGGTCTTTATTTTTTTTAATTTTTTTATACATTCGATTATGCAATAAATTTTTATGGATAAGGATAAAATGGAGAAAATATATATAAAAAATGTAACTGTGTATAACTGTGAGAGGCACGAAGTGTCTCAGCACCTCTAATCATAAATAATGATAGTATAAATTTATTTTACACTTGTTAGTGCATTAATTGTTTTCTTAATTTAATTGGTTTAATTTGTTTCACTATATTATATTATTTTAATTAATTAATTAATATAAAATACATAAAAATATTAAATCAATTTAAATTTGAAGACTGTTATAAAAGAAAGTAAAATAGAGAGAACAAACAAGACAATATGAGATGGAGAAAAGAATCTGACTAGTGTATTATCTTTGGGAGAGGAGTAACCTATTTATAAATACATGTGGTAACTGAACAATTACACAATAAGGGAAATAATATATAACGGAAATATAAATGGTAATAATTGATAATGAATATTGGCATCCACTAAGTAAGCCACTAATTATTATTCATAACACTCCCCCTTGGATGTCTAATATTTAGAATGTGTCTCGTTAAAACCTTATTAGGAAAAACCTTATGGGATAAAAACCTAGTGAAGGAAAAAGAGTACATCATTCATAAATATTTATTTCTCCCCCTCATGCATACAATCTTTAAGAAGACGGAGTCCAATCTTGTGTATCAACTGTTCAAAAACTTTTCTTGGAAGTGACTTTGTAAAGAGATCTGCAAGGTTGTCACTTGAGCGAACTTGTTGAACATTTATATCACCATTCCTTTGAAGATCATTAGTAAAAAATAATTTTTGTAGAATATGCTTTGTTCTATCTCCCTTTATGTATCCATCTTTCAATTGTGCAATACATGCAACATTATCTTCATATATAATTGTCGATGTCATTTTTCCAGAAGATAAACCACAAGTTTCCCGTATGTGTTCAATCACAAATCTTAGCCAAACACATTCACGACTTGCCTCATGTAATGCTAAAATTTTAGCATGATTAGATGAAGTGGCTAATATGGTTTGTTTTACAGATTGCCATGAAATGGCCGTACAACCACTTGTAAACAAATATCTTGTTTTTGATTTACCATTATGAGGATCCGACAAATAACCTGCGTCTGCATAACCATTTAGTTCTGGTTTGGAAACATTTGAATATAATAACCCCATATCCATTGTACCTATAAGATAACGAAGGATTTGTTTAACTCCATTCCAATGTCTTTGTGTAGGTGAAGAACTATATTTTGCTAACAAATTAACAGCAAATGCTATATCAGGTCGTGTATAATTAGCAAGGTACATTAGTGCTCCTATAGCACTAAGATATGGAACTTCAGGACCAAGTATTTCTTCATCCTTTTCTTGGGGTCTAAATGGATTTTTATTAACATCTAAAGATCTTACAACCATGAGAGTGCACAATGGATGTGATTTATCCATATAAAACCTTTTAAGCACCTTTGTTATATAAGCTTCTTGATGCACAAGAACTCCATTTTCTAAGTATTCAACTTGTAGTCCTAGACAAAACTTTGTCCTTCCTAGATCCTTCATTTCAAATTCTTTCTTTAAGCAATCTATTGCTTTTGAAAGCTCTTCAAGAGTTCCAATAATGTTTATGTCATCTACATAAACTACAATTATGAAAAATCCATTTTGAGATCTTTTAATAAATATACACGGACAAATTAGATCATTTTTATATCCTTCTTGTAACAAGTATTCACTTAGTCGATTATACCACATACGACCTAATTCCTTTAGCCCATATAGGGACTTATTTAATTTAATTGAATAATCTTCTCTAGAAATTGCATCGTCAGGCAAATTAAATCCTTATGGGAATTTTATATAAATGTCAGCATCAAGAGAGTCATATAAATATGTTGTAACTACATCCATTAGATGTAAATTAAGTTTTTCATGTACAACCAAATTAATTAAATATCGAAAAGTACTTGCATCCACTATAGGTGAATATTCTCTTCAAAATCAATACCGGGTCTTTGTAAAAAACCTTGAGCAACTAGTCTTGTTTTGTATCTCACAATTTCACCATTTTCATTTCGTTTTTGCACAAAAATCCATTTGTATCCAATTGGTTTTACACCTTTTGGTGTACGTAGTACTGGTCCAAAAACTTTTTTTTAGCAAGCAAGTGTAATTCTGCCTCAATTGCATCTTTTTATTTTGGCCAATCATTTCTTTATCGACAATCGTTGATGGACTTTGGTACTTGATCCTCAATATCATTTATTACATTTAGCGCTATATTATATGCAAACACGTCATCAATATTGACATTGTTTCGATTCCATCGTATTCCATTCATGACATAATTTATTGAGATCTCTTCATTTTCAATAATTTTAGGTACCTGAGTTTCTTCTGGAACTGAAAAATTAGTTATGTCAGAGGAATCTTTTTGAGTTTTTACATCCTCAATTTGATCATTTTTTTTTCTTTAGCTCTCTTTTTTATTTGAGGATTCTTATCCTTGGAACCAAGTGGTCTTCCACGCTTCAGGCGTATTTGTGACTCGTTTGCAATATTAGATTGTCCAACAGGGACTGCTACTCTTATTGGAGCATTAGTCGCTAATACATATGACTTAGTCACCCTTTTTGGATCTATGAATACATTTGGTAATTGATTGGCTAGATTTTGCAAATGAATTATCTTTTGAACTTCTAGTTCACATTGTTTTGTACGAGGATCAAAATGAAATAGTGATAACTCATTCCAACTAATATCTTTTTCTAGCTATTTGTGTTCTCCCCCTAATGTTGGGAAAATAAACTCATTAAAAGAATGATATGTGAATTCACCAGCATTATCTAAACGAATTTTCTTAATTGGATAGTCAGGAAAATGAGCTTTTAATTTAATTAGTTGAGCTAATAATCTCGCAAACGTCTGGTTGCGAATTGATAATAAACAAACATGTGATCATCTTGTTGATGCATCAATTAAAATCATAAAATATCTAAATGGTCTACATGGGGAGTGTATTGGTCCACAAATATCACCTTGTATTCGTTCTAAAAATAAGATAGATTCATCCCCAATTTTTGCTGGTGATGATTTGATTATTAACTTCCTTTGAGAACAAGCAGTACATGAGAAAATATTTAATTGAAGAATCTCCTGGTTCTTCAATAAATGTCCACATGAATTTTCAATTATTTTTTGCATCACGGCTCATAGTGCAGAAATATATGCCGAATAGCCAAACACAAACAAAACAGGTATACCATAGATAAATTAATAAAATTATCACATCTCACTCATCCAAGACATCAATTTTTCATATAACATTAAAATGCACATGTATGGACACGAACTACATTTTATCATGCATGTGGCGCTAGTAACATATCACATGGCATATTGCCGCTAGTAATACACGAAGAGTAGTCTAGGAGTACATGCCGGGTCACACCCTCTGCGCACTCTCACTAGAAGGACATACTACTAGAGTCTCTTCGGGATAGCTAAGCTGCGCAAGATACATCCCATGAACACAATGGGCGAGACTGAGACTTACAAACCGAGCTATCCCCAAGGACTAATCCCCAAAGCTTTTACACTAGGGGGCCTTCTCTGGCGGTGTATTCCATATCGTACCCTTAAAAATATTTATGCACATGATACATGTCAATCAAGACTCCATGCTTCTCTTATATCACATTTTC